GGCTGCCTGCCTCGGGTGCCCTGGCTGCGGCCTGGGAGGGCTCCGAACGTGGCCGCTTGCTCACCCGACCTGTTTCCGCGCTGCTCACGGTTCTGTGGGTTCCTGTCAGCAGTTGGTTCCGTCATCTCTGTTTTCGGGGCTGAAGTGTGTCAGGCTGTTCCTGCAAAGCGATCTGCTGTACCTATGGCCGGCTTCATTTTCTCTCTCTCTGTCGTTTCCTGTTCGGCTTTCACACTCTGAAATGTTGCCTGTAAAATTCGAGGTGCAGATTCAACATGAAATTAGGGGTTCTTCTCTTTTTTTGTTAGTTGCTTCTGAGTAATTATCTCCGCTGCTTATATTAGTGCCAAAATACCACGCTAGGATTGTGTTTTCTTCTCTATTGATAATTACACAGGGATACATTGAGTATCATTTGTGCTTATCTTACTTTAATGGGTTTTAAATGCTTTTGTCCGTTTTCTGGGCTTTGGGAAAGTTTATTGTCTTAGACCTAACAGGAAGGCCTTTTAACGTCCAAACCTACAACAATCTCTGGATAGATCCAGTAGTGCCAGTCGTCACGCTAGTTTGCATGACTGCTTTGTGAGGAAAGCGTAGTGTGGCATTTTTATTTGCTAGGGCAGCAGATTTGTTTTTTCAGGATCCCGTCCGTGGTCAGGCAGGTTTAGCTTACACTGACTCTGCTGGAATACTTAAACCTACTGCCCTGTGTGGAATGTTTCTGGATGATCGTATTTATTCTGATCTCGTTCTTTAGGATCCTTCTGGCGATCCATCGCAACAGGAAGCAAAACAGAGGTATAAATGAGAACTGTTGACTTTTGCTCTTAAATCTGATTGTTCTGAACCCTGTTTTTGTGTTCAGTATTTAATTTCTTTGGAATACTCACATACATTTTTTTGTTGTTGTTGGAGAAACCACCCACAAAGAAGGTGAAACATCAAAGATTTAATCCAAGGATAGCTGAAATCTGCTTGATCCAAGCACAGCTTCCAGGCCATCACTATATTGGACAGCAGAGCCATCGGGCAGTCTCAGCCCTCACTGGGGTGGGAGGGCATGGAGGAAAACAGCAGCTCATTTCCATTTTGGGACTCAGCCGGGTGCAATAACCTCATGATCCTTAGTGACTTGATATGTTGTGTTTGAGAAGCATCATCATTGCCATTGTCATCTGCTTCTGGAGCTCAGACACCGTGGATTTTCAGAACTGGCCATAAGAAAATCTTGAATCGTGGCAGAACCCTTCCCAAACTGGAGTTTTGTCTGCGTGATGAGTTTGGCTCTGTTAGTGTAATGGGAACACGCTTTCCTAGTTGATTTGATTTTTTTTTTTCTGGGACATCTATTGCAGTTAAAAACATGAAAAAAAAGCAATTTATGTCAGAGCTTAGTGGGGAAATGGCGTTTAGTATTTGCACTAAGTGGAAAATTTAAAGTGGTTAAAGAGCTAGACTTTGCACACAGTCAAAGTTTGTATTACCTTACAGGCATAAACTAAAATTCCAGTTTTACAAATACTTAGTCAAATATTGTAAGTATATGAAGACTTACAGAAAAATTCTAAATAAATAATCAGGTTTGGTTCTGTCTTGCAATTGCATGGACTAGCCCTTACACCTGCTCTACCATACACTGCCTTTGTTGGAATTCCACGTGGAACTGAATGCAGGATCTGTAGTGGCTTCTGTTTTTAAGATGCAGTAGTAAACAATAATAAGGTGCAAGTAGTAAATTCTATCTTGATTTCTTGGAAGTTGTTGTCAGCAATGTAATTTTGTCAACAGATGTAGAGCTACTCATGACAGAAAATGCTATGAAAAGCAATCATGTGAGTGTAATGTTTGAAGGGACCTCAAGTTACTTTCATGAATTGGAAGTCTTCTGCAGTTGGCTGTTTTGTGCATATTATTTTACGTATTTGAAATTTCACTTTCAGTGTGTGGTTATTTTTTATTACAGGGAGGCAGAGATAAGAAATACTATTTTAGCTCAAGTTCTCGATCAAGCAGCTCGTGCAAGATGTAAGTATCCCAAAAATTTACTAATAAAAAATTGTCTTCTAGTGTACTCTAGTGCTGCTCAAATCAAGCACATGCTTATATAGAGACTAGACTAGAAAAATATCATTGTTGATGGGAAGATAAAACTATTACAGCTTTTCACTCGGTGGTATCAGTGATTTGAGAGGAAGGTTAACTGACATCTCAATGTTCACCAACTTTTTTTTTTTTTAATTAATAGTAGCAATAGTAGTGAAAGTCAAAAGTAGTTCACTGAAATATGAACAAATATTTAAAAGTAGGAAATAATGGTCTTGTATATTTTATATAAATGAAAATGTCTTTTTCATTTTATTTCATGAAGGTATTTGATTATGTTTTAAAACAAAATAAGCAGAGCTTGTTTTTGTTGCAGTAAGCAATTTAGCACTTGTGAAACCAGACAAAGCAAAAGCAGTAGAGAATTATCTTATACAGATGGCAAGATTTGGACAGCTCGCTGGAAAGGTGAGTTACATTTTTCTAATTCTTTCTCGCATGCATTTGTTTTCAAACCTAATTCACTCAAAAAAAAATGAGTTTTTACTATCTGTTAATTAAATGACTGAAAAAGGCAATTGAGAGCTTCTAAATACTATTATACAATTCCATCAAACACCTTTTATAAGAAGAGAAAGTGTGATTCAGTTGTCTGATACTGAGCACCTCTCGGAATGCATTTATATGGTTTTTCTTTTGCTTTTGTAGGTATCGGAACAAGGTTTGATAGAAATACTTGAAAAAGTGAGTCTGCAAACAGAAAAGAAAACAACAGTAAAGGTAAGCTTCATTTTAAAATGTAATTTTAATTTGTGATAAAATAGAGCAGAAAAATTGCAGGTATTGGACCATTTCAGTTCACGGTAGAACTTAATTTTGTATTTGCCACCTCTTACCTACACTGAGTACTGGGATTAAATCATAGCAGGTCCTTATCAGTAGTAAAATTTGCACATATTGGCACTGGGATATCGGTGTTCTGTTGTGAGCCAGACTACCCTGTGTCTGTCCTGTACCATTATGCCAGGCGGGAACTTGGCAGGCGTGGGTCGTGGTGGGGCGAGTGATCTGCTCCTATGTAACGTATTCATTGTCAAATGCATCAAGTGCGAAAGGCTTGTTTGCTCTATGTTGGATTTACTGGGACCATTCTATTTTCACTTCATGTTATTTCTATTGTAGTTCAACAGAAGGAAAGTATTGGATTCTGATGAAGAGGATGATTATTAATACTACTGTAAGACTGTCTGCCAAAGAAAAGGCCTGGAAAAGGCAAGATACTGTTATCAGGCAGAATGCAAGATCTGGAAATGTTTACGCTTATTTTTTTTAATAAAAAGGCCAACAAATTAACTTGTCTTGTAAAATAAATCTGAAGAGGGGATTTTGTAACTTAAACTTTTGTAGTATAAGAGGCCTGAGCAGTGTGAGTTTCCCCACCGCTTTGTTAGCATGAACATTTTGTTGCCCCTTACTCAGTGTGTAAGCTATGCCTTCAGCAACTGCACACACTTAACTTGCTGCTATTGGAGATACCGTAACACAAGGAGGAGCTAAGCGTAAAGCTGGTAACAGCCACTCCCTCTAGGAGTTTAAAGACTTATCCCCAGTCTCTAAATCACAGAAGTGTTAGAAATGGTATTTCCTGAGCCCCCGAAGGAAACCTAGCCAGCAGCTCACTGGCCCTCAAGTACTTACTGGAAATTTATAAAATAAAGTGAAGGTATCAAAGAAGTGGTTGGCGCAGAGGACTTTGTATCAGGCCATCTGTGTAAAGAAATTGTAACCGGCATACAGTTGAACTGTTCCCCTATGAAATAAACAAGCTGTCTCAAAAAGAGCAAGTTAACTGTGTAATGCAGCACTGTTCAGACACTTGGTATCGTATATTCTTAAAACTACCTCCATTTTTATCAAATGGCTGGAGTGTTTCTTACCTTGAAAAAAAGACCTTTCTGCAGCTCCTGCATGCATAAAGTAAAACTGAACTTGTACTATACACTTACTCAAAAAATATGGTTATGGAAATACATAGGATAAATACTGTAATGTGCTGAATAAGCACTCCACTACCACAAAATCCTTTTCTGACATAATTTAACAGGAATGTGTATGATCCCAACTGCAGTGTTTTTTGGAACAGAATAAAATTGTTCAGAGTGAGCACTAGTGGGTGTTTTTCATCTCTGTGAATATCATTAAAAAGTAGTTAAACAGTTGTTATTTTTGTTTCATTTGGACTAGACTGGGCATTTTACTTGTTTATGAGTGTAATTAGGATTCCTTAGCTTTACTGCTATCCTGGGTATCTGCTAAATTTCTTTAGACTAGTGACCCTTCACCAGTCTGAAGAGTTTCAAGCCAAGGTGTGGTGATAAGACGGTTTAGACGTTTTCCTGTTAGGGTTACAGATAGCTCCTAAGCATTCATGCTTTACCTTCCCATTCCCAAGTTCTTCAAATTCTACTCATAACAGCATAAGCTTTATTGTCTTGCTGTTCTTCTAAAAAGGCTGTGCCAGGATCTTCGTTGTCAAAACGAAGTAATGCTCTAGATTTATTTTAACTTACAACCTTTTGAGATTAAACTGGACTGTACAGTAATATGCTTTGCAGACAAATCAGAGGTGTCGTGAAGCTGACTTCAGTATATTTGCACTACACATTGCTAGGGGAGGCTTCCAGGGGTGCTCCCTTCAAATCCTATTCCAGTTTAGCCTTTGATCATCGTAGCTTGGAATATTAAGGTATTTTTTCAATTACAATCTTGGTTAAGTATGTCAAAGGAAACTTGCAAACTATTTCACTTACCTAAGTAATTTGTTAGTCATTATCTTTCCATCATTTAGATTATAATGGAACTGTTTGGCATTTGAGGTTTTTTTATGTATGCTATACATCAAAAATGCTTGGAAATAAGCTTTAATCTGGACTGAACGCTGCATAAAACTGAAGCATGACTCGGTCACTTAAGTAGCCTCACATTCACAATACAGATTTTGTTAAAAAACACAGTAGGTAATATGCACTAAGTCTGCAGTAAGTGACTACATTTTGGTTTTCTTTTTTTCTCCCTGGAAATTTTATATTTCATTTTGGGGGCCGGGGGGGTGGGGAGTTTTTCAAAGGCAGGCATTACTGTAGCACTTGGCCAATTCTTAAACGTTGAATAAAATTAACCAATAATTATATAACAATTCATATCAAGGCTGAAACTTGGGAGTGTTGCAGCTGTTTCATCATTTGCGTAGAATATAACAAAATACTTTATGCTTAAAATACAACAGTAGTGAACAAGTTGTTTTCCTTAACCTGTTGTATTCAAAATTTGTTTTCAATAGAAAAAAAAACAACTAAATTCAGAGTTCACATCCTCTGATACTCCTCTCTAACCCTTTTCAAAGTTATTTAATAAGCCATCTTAAAACTTGCTTCCAAAGCTACAACCACACTGTTTAAGGATTAAGAAAAAAGACTTTATACTGACCTTAGTGTCATTGTGCTAATTCATGTTCAAGTAGTTACAGCAGTATATTCTGTACTTACACTCTGTAGCGTAGTATCACCAGTATTAAGTTTGCAAATTAGATCTATGAAAGTTTACTTGTATCTTAAACTTTTTAAGTAATATTTAGGTTATTTTTTTCTACGGGTAAGCATCAGTGACTTTCTGAACTTAGCTGTGAGGAAGATACACTAAAAGAGAATTGGTTCCGTTTTAACCAAAACCAGGACAGTAATCTTTATAGCATCACAACAAGAAAAAAACGTGGTTCCTATCTCTTTCCTCTTGGTCTTTTGGCTTGTAATAGCTAAACATCCATTCTACTTTTTTTTTTTTTTATGGGAATGTAGAGCTAGAGAAGGAAGTTACGTGAAAACATTCAGTTTCACTAACAATTCTGTATTGTACATCTCTATGCCTTAAATCCAAAACCACACAACCTAATAATAGTAATCCATGAATGCAGAAGGGAAGAAGGTCATATTGAACACGAGAGTAAATGCCAACAGAACCCTCAATTTACAGATAGACACAAGATGAAGTCTTCAAATGCCTACACAAACAAAAGCAAGGAAATCTGCATAAAAGACTCAATGGTTTCAAAAAAGCACTCAAAACATTTTCAAGAGTTATTTTAATTAGTTTATTCTTTCCATAATTTGACACAAAACCAAGGCACATTAGAAAATCAGATGAGCTCATAAATTATTAGAAAAATAAACACATGACCCTCATCTCCAAATGTCCCTCTGTGCATTTTCTGCACAATTTACCCCTTAGATTAAAAAGTTATTTGAAAAAGATCACCAGTATGTCTTCCAGCTGTGTAGTTTGCCAGGCAGTTTACTAATACCACAGTTAAAAGAAATACAATTATTCATACAAATAATTTATGAAATAAAATGTAAGCTGGATGTGATGAGCCAAGAATAAAAAATACTGCACTTAGCAACCTGGCCTCTGCTATTTACACATTCTCCTACCATAACCAAAACAATTAGAAAATGAAGTCCAAATCTAAGCAGCCATGGCATAGTTACTTTCAATTCTTCAATGATCACCTCTAGGAATGGGGTAACATTTAGCCTGTTCCAACAAATGCTTTCTGATGTGAGAAGTACCTTAGTAATTGGAATTTCACCTTTTTAAAGAGCAGACCAGAGCAGGCTCCTAAGCAGCACTTTTGTCTGCAGATGTTGCCCAGGTTCAGAATCATGAATATTCATGAATTTTTTGCATGACTTGCTTTAGAGGAAGGAAAAAAAACAACACAAACACAAACTCAACCTAGAACAATTTTGCGTGTCCTTATACATGCTTGCTTCTGCATATTGTTTTTTTATTAGGCTGTGAACAGTGAGTCCAAAGTTTAGCTCTGTCAAGGGCTCTCTACCTTTCCCAGTATCTTGGCTGTATAAGAACTTGATCTTGCAGATCTAATATAGGGGAGCATTGCAAAGAAATGAGCAAGGATTATATCCCTTCACATTAAAAGCATGTATAAATTTCTAATGCAGCATCGCAGACGTTATGGACTATTGTTTTCCCAGCTACTGAAATATACAGAAATATATACTATAATGGTTTGTAACGTTACAATAAAAATAGAGACATTTCAGTTATCTCTGGCAATAAATACCTTGTTATCCAATATATCTTTATATATATAAATACACATATATATTTATATATACTTATCCAATGTAGTGATAAAACCTGAAAATGCAAAAATTATTCAAAGACTTTTAAAAACAAAGTGGTGGCTGAAAAATACAATACAGGGTTTGGTTTGGTTTACTGTTAATATATTTTTTAATAAGTGCTAAGTAGAATAGGAAAGTAATTTTGCTGTCTACATCTCAGTACATCCCTGCTTTTTGAGATCAGTAATGATCTGGCTGTGTAGTTACCTCCAACATAAATAGAGGATTCAGTCTTGGAAAGTGCTAGGAACATTCTGTTGCTGCTGAAGAGTCATCCTTCCATTCTGTTCTGAAAGCAGGCTTGCAAGCGTCACCGAATTCTTTGACATACAGTGAAGGGTTATTGAAATTAACACCACCTCGTTCCTCAGCTTTGACATCAAGTTCGCGCTTCCTTGTCAATGTTTTGAAAGCAAGTCATCACAGCAGTCTCTCGATTGTGAAATACTTGGATTTCTAGGGCTGGATAGATTACTATCGCCGACATTCTCTGCTGAAAGTGGCACATTAACAGTGTGTCTTCGATGCATTAATTTACTCCTGTGAGGAACTTCCATCACGTCATCATGTTTCACAAACTCACCACTGCATCCTGTGTCCATAATCTTAACTTTGCTCTGGTCCAGCATTTCAACAGATTTTAACTTCGTTTTATCAAAGCTTTTAATGGCTAACTGTGAGGACAGAAAAACATTACGTTAAAAGCACTGTCTAGTTTCTTCATTACAAAAAAGTAAAATTAATATGGTGTTTCTTGAATACATTTATCACATTATTTTCAGGGTATTCTTTATACTGAGAACACAGCCAAGCATTAAAAATAGCACACTTTGTAGGACAGTAATGATATTTGATCTACAGATGACAAAATGAGGCCAACCTGCCCCAGGCTACACACAAATCATTACCAGAACTGAAAAGATACTGAAGGCATTCCAAAACTTATTTCCACTGCACTGCCCCAATACCATCCTAACTCTTCTCAACACCTTTTGTAAGGCAAGTCTTAAGGTACTTGAAATTAGCAGCCATTTCCTTTTCCCGTTAAGTAACCAGTAAGCAGTAGTACAGACAGGCTCGACTAGGGCCTCCCGAAAACAGAGGCCGAATCTCCCTTGTTTCACC